CCCCAGACTTTCTCATTCTATTGCTTCTCCCTATGGGTCTCTTCTTACTAGGAAGAATTGGATTCTACAGATACCTCTGTGGTGATCAGCTCCTGCTCTTTGGCTGAAGCACGACTTTTATTGGACAATTTTCTCAAAGCATCCATAGACAAGGTAAGTCAAAGTTAAGAATGCCTGCTAGCAATTGATAAGTATAGCTAATCTAGTAGCAAATGTAATTGGTTACAATGTTAATCTGACCTATCTATGGAACTCTTGGAGAAATGCATTTAGAATGAAGTAAGGTTTTTAATATTTTGAAATATATTTGCAGTGAAACTCTTTTTAGTCCTTGTGCTTTATCCAAACACTTTAATAAGAAGTAGAAAAAAGCTCTGACTGAATATTATGCTTACAGTTTTCTGGTTGTGTCCCAGAACCCATTGCAAGATGCAGAATCCCATTGCAGAAATATAATAATAATAATAATAATAATAATAATAATAATAATAATAATAATAACAACAACAACAACAATAACAACAACAACAGCAGCAGCAACAGCAGCAGCAACAACAACAACATAGCCTTCTTTATGGCTGAGAATAGAGCTTGCGGAGAGATCAAGTTCTTATCTAATTTTCCAATCTCTGAAAATAGAGCCTGCAGGTTGCCCAGAAGGAAGCTCAGATCCGCTTACTGGAGGGACGTCTGAGACAAACAGATGTGACTGGCTCCTCTCAGAACCATCATATTCTGGATGCCCTACGAGAAAAAGCAGAATCGCACCCTGAATTACAGGCACTCATTCACAATGTGCAGCAAGGTCTGTTTTGTTATTCCCCTATCCGCAGTGCTCTTCTATAGCCACACTCCTTTCTTGTTGTGTGACAAAAGGACTATTTTGAGGACAATCACTACATAACAAAGACTTGAAATAGCCAGGCTGTTAATGTGATGAGTACAAACATGAACTGAACATTTAAACTTACCTCTGAATTAGTCAGTTCGTGTGGCAAGGCTCGTTTTAAGTTGAAAGTGTGTTTGTTCTGGGTTCATGCTTGTGGTCCTTCTGCTTCTGTAAATTGGAGATGAGTGTTTTTTTTGCCAAGTTGCCCACTTTAAAAAATTTAAGGCCAACCTTCTTGTGTCCTTTGGATATACTCTAGAGACATTTTCCTAGATAAGTTTCTGATACAGAAGCAGTGCTCATGTCTATGTGCTGATGAATATGATCCAAATGTTGGTTTCTTTTCTACATAGAAAATGGCTATGCCAGCACTGATGAGGAAATCTCAGAATTCAGTTTGGCTTCAGAGGGAAGGTGAGTATCCGCAGAGAAAGCAAGAGGCAAATGTGTGTGTGTGTGTAAAAAACTTTTTTTTTTTTACCCTGTGTGGTTTTAAAAAATGGGAGAAATGGAAATTATTTTTGTTGACCATTGAACCAGCTCACAGTCATCAAGGAATCCCTATGCTCTATTTTTTATACAAAAAAAATCCAATTCAGCATGGACTGCTTGTGTCAGGAATAAATCAGAGTCTGAGTGTTACACTTAGAGGAATCTCTTCAGGGTTGGTCTCACTTGGATTCTCAATAGGTTCCTATAAAAATTGCATGTACCAAAGATCTCTTTCTGTGTCCTGCAGCTTTTCCCAGTCTTTCTTCATGAAAGGTTCTGCTAGTCAGGATGACTTCAAGTGCAGGGTAAGTTGAAAGCTGCATTTGGCCAATGTGGCTATAGGTGTTTTGTGTCTTTGTAAACATCTGATTGCTCTTCAATTAAACAGTGAGAATAGTTTGTGTGACATATTAAAATATACCTGTCCCACCAAGCATTCAAGGCCTAATAGCCAGGTATATGCTTTCTTTTTTAATTAGATATTAGTTGGTAAGCCTACTGTTCATTTATATTTAGTTGGTGGACTTTCTGTGTTTTGGAATTTTACTGTTTTTTTAAATTGTGAACCACTCAAGAGTCATTAGATTGGGATGGTACATAAATCATAATTAGTACTAAATATCCATCCTTATCTATTTGTAGGTCCCTTTCCTTTATTGTCTTTAGACCAAAGTCCTTGAGTGTCTTCATAACTCTTGACTCTCGTTGCATCCTTCCACAAAATTTAGGATGATATCTCTTACTTGAATTCAAATCTAAATCTTGGGCTACATTTTATCAACCAATAGGGATTGTTACAAATTGAGCAGGAAATAATGCCTGAGTAGCTGATTAACACTCCTTCTTTGACTTGATTATTTTGGGACTTTGTTTTAGGGAGAGCCTAAACTGTCTGGTCAGATGAAAGCTGTATCTGCAGAGTGCCTAGGACCCACACTGGACATCTCCACTAAGAACATCACCAAGTCATTAGCGTCTCTCATGGAAATCAAAGAGGACAGTGTTGGATTCTCCATCCATGATCCTTATTATAAGGAAAAAGTCTCCCGTACCATCAGCCTGCCTATCCGAGGGAGCACATTGTAAGTCCTGGTTATAGCAATAGTAATAATACTTAGACTTATATACCTTTTGATAGTGTTTACAACCCTCTCCAAGCAGTTTTCAGAGCCATCATATTGCCCCCAACAATCTGGATTCTCATTTTACCAACCCCAGAAGGATGGAAGGCTGAGTCAACCTTGACCTGGTCAGGATCGAAGTCCTGGCAGTGGAATGCCAGAGCCTGCAACACTGCATTCTAACCACTGCACCACCATGGTTCTTATAGAGGCAGTGATATAGAGCCAATGACCTCTTGCATGTTGAGAAGTGGAGATGCTACTGGATTGAAAATTTGGAGTCCAATACTTCAGCATTATTTTGTGTAAATCAATACTGCATATGAGTCATCCTTTTAGCAACCCAAAATTTGGTTTTCTTGATGGTAGTAATTAGTGAGCCAGAGAAATAACCAGGCAAGGGGAAGGGAATGATCTGAGTATTGAGTTCAGCCCAGAATCAGCTTTTTGTTGACCGCAAACTACAGAAATTTTAACCATAACATAGAAGTCTTCAGTTTATTAGATTCCATCATTTTAATGAAATCACCTCAAAATTCTTTTCGTAATCCTTAGTCAGCTAGCAGCTTCACCTGATACTGGTTCAAAATAAAGTGTCCTTTTTTTAAAAAAAAAATTTTTTATTAAGTTTTCAAATTTTAAAAACATAAAAAATATAGAGTGTCCTAATGAGAAAGTAGGAGGTTTGCTTTGGCTTTGATTACAAAAAAGTGCTTCAAAGAGCATCTCACAATCCCTACCTGCAAGGCTTCAAAGCAGCCACAGTTTTCCTTTCAAGTAGCAGCCACAGGATGTTGGGAAAAGATGCAACTGCTTTAAAAGAGTTGCAGACATATGCTTTGTTCATGTCCCATATGCTCTGAAAGCCCATTTTTAGAGTCAGAACTGAAGAACTGTGCAGTCTGAGCAGGAACCATTTCCTGCAGGATGTGGCGGCTGAACATTTAGAAAGCTTAGTTTATACAAATGACGTAACCTATATTAGTCTCCATCAGTTATGAATTGGCAAGGATAAGTATAGGTACTAAAATAAATATAAATGTTTCTGCACATTTGAGGGATCTTGCAAACATGGAAGGTACTTGAAATTGAATTACCCAGTCTATTTCATTTCCTTGACATTTGTTTTTACAGTGTTTTAAGAGATTCTATGCTCCCATGTGCCCCCTCATCAAAATCTTTGCATCTGCAAGAAGATTATGTACATCCAATCTATCCTCCCTGACACTAGGAATGTTTTGAAGCAAACGATTCCCCAGGCGTTTAACACTTCATTCATTTCAATAAGATAATTTTGCAAAGAATATTTTCTGTTGGTTTTTTCCCCCCTCTCTAGCCCTCGACAGTCCCGAGGTGCAGACACTTCACCCCTTACAAGGAGGAAGTCCTACGACAGGGGCCAGTCAATCAGGTAAGGGCATAAGAAGGGCCCCCTCAATATCTTTTTATTTTCCTTGTCATCCAGTTGACTTGCTTGGTGGAAGAGGATCTGAAAGTGGTGAGCGATGATTTGCAAGGAGCAAACCAGCCTCCAATCCGCGTAAATCATCACATCTTTCTTTCTTGCCTAGAAATCCAGATGTTGGATTCACTCCTCCCTCATCCCCTCCCAGCAGACCACGCAATGACCGCAATGTCTTCTCTCGGCTCACTAGCAACCAGAGCCAGGGCTCTGCATTAGACAAGTAAGATTATGAGATTTGGAGGAGCTTCATTTCCCAACGATAAAGAGAAGAATTTATGGTTATAGCTGCTGGAGCTAAAAAAAAGTTTCTCCTAATTTTCCATTTTACCCAATACTGAAAACCTTTAGTTTTTTCGCTTTTGAGTTGTTGTTTTGGTTTGTTTTTTGGTGGGAACCTGAAGATACGTCATTCCATTTGCGCTGGAGTTAGCTCTCTGCTTCAGCAATCAGGACATTTAACAGCAACCAGACAAGGTTCCCCTGGAACTTCCCCAAATATGTAAGAAACCTAAATAGCTGTTATACCATTTTCCTACCCAGGACCAGCATCTAATTTTATACATTCCATAATGTCTCAAATGCTAAATGATGGCTGCATTTCTTCAGTGTATTTAGATGGTTGCTAGGAAGCATGAAATCTCTTTCCAATCCTGTCTGCAGCCTCCCAGAGCCACGAATCTCGTTTTCCAAACTCTGCACATGAATGTTGAGAGGATTCAAGTTTATTTTTTCAACGTAGGTTTGGAGTCGTGCTGATCTTCCAATTAGCTCTGTTAATTAGCTCTGTTAACAGGGCAAGATCTCACAACGGAGTTTCGTATGCTTTTAGCTTTTCAAATACTGGCCTATGTACTCTTGAGATCAGGGTGGAGGGAGAGAGGAATTGTAGCACCAAAAAACTGGTGATGTTTCATTAGTATTTTAAACTAATTTGACCAGCATAGATCAACTTCAGCCTAAATGGCTATTGCAGTTTCAAATAAAAAATAAAAGCAATACAAGAAACATAATTGGCAGCCATTTGTAGAGGGAATTTGACACCACAGTGATCATGTCCTCGTGAGGAAGTACGGAAGTCACAATAGACTTTGCTCGGAGGTTGACCGCTAGGTGTTACCCACAAATCTTGGTAGATAGCATTGTATGTGTGGTGCCTTTATCCTCTGAAGAGACACATATGTGCAATAATTTAACACCATTAGAGTTTTCATTTCCTTTTTCCTAAAGCAAGTTTCACTTTGCGTATAATATCAAGGGTTTGGTGAGTGAGAAAATACCTATTCAAATTGCAGGTGCTTTCTGCTCATGCTCCTTCTGCTCCTGAGCCCTGTCTGTCTGCAGCCTGCTATCTTTTTTATCCGCCCTGCTAGCTTGGATGCAATAACAAACTTCCCCCTTCTGACTTTATACTGCGGCTTTTCTTTCTCCTGGTTTTAATCACCCATAATCCTGCTAATTTTCTATCCCTAGGTCTGATGACAGTGATTCCTCTATCTCGGAGGTGTTGAGGTATAAAACTTACTGTTTATTATATAACTCCTGTGGCCTCTTTCTTCCCCTCCCATTCTATTTTCTCTTCCTGCATTTAAAACCTGCATGTCACCAGACCCTGATGTAGTACTTCTTACCTTCTTCCGTTTCTACTTTCTGAGTGCTAAATATATCTCCATCTGACTAAAGAATGTTTCAGGCCCATTTCCTGTGACTTGGAATAGTCTTTGACTTACGACCACAATTGAGCCTAAAATTTCTGCTAAATGGGACTTCGCTAAGTGAATGTTGCTCCCATTTGATGACTTTTCTTGCCACAGTTGTTAAGTGAATCACTGCAGGCGTTAGGTTAGCAACACGGTTGTTGGGTGAATCTGGCTTCTCCGTTGACTTTGCCGATCAGAAGGTTGCAAAATGTGTTTACCTGGGACAGTGCAACAGTCATAAATACGAGTCAGTTGCCAACCGTCTGAATTTTGATCGTAGGGCCATCAGGAAGCTGCAATGGTTGTATGTGTGGAAAATGGTAATAAGTTACTTTTTTCAGTGCCATTGTAACTTTGAACAGTCACTAAATGAACTGTTGTAAGTCGAGGGCTACCTGTAACATGATTTCTTCCAAATTTGTCCTCCTTATATGTGTTGAAAATCACCAGCCAGCAGTGGGTTAAAATTCCATCCTGTCTGGAAGTCCTAGTTAAACCACCAGCACATGTCTGAAGCTTTCAGTCTTTTTTGCCCCCAAAGCCTTTTTGTTCTGCTGAGTTGACAGGCTCTCCTTCTATTGTTGAGTCAGCTGACAATATCAATATAAAAGTTGTTCTCTTCTTTGTTGATCGTTATCCAACCTCCGCTTGTTTCTGTTCTGCAGAACAGAAGGCAGTGCAGTTACCAAACTTCCCTCCAAAACAATGGGTGACAAACTCCATAGCAGTTTGAGTAAAAGACTGAAAGTTTCAAATATCCTTTCTAAGAATACACTTTCTGGCCTTTTCTCCTGCCTTAGTTTAACTGCTTAGTAACTATCGCTGCTTCCACCTACCTTCACAAGATTCTTCATTTGGAATCCTCTCATTAACCCAAGCCTAGATAGGGCTTAGGAACGTTTATTACCCTCATGGCGTATTGCGGGGGAAATGAAAAGATTTCTATAGTAAAACCTCCAGGCCTTGTAGCGTAGAGGTGTATTACTAGAGGTCTCAGCTGTTCTAATCCCCTCTTTTTGGAAGAGAAACTACTTTAAAAAGAGAGAAAATGTAAAAATCACTTGTCAACTTTGAATATTAAATTGTAAACATTTCACGTTATAGGAAACAGATTATATAGCTGCCCAAATTTACAATAAGCAGCAGCTGACAGACTAGTTCAATGGAAAAATCCAAAAGACCACTAGAGGGCAATGGTCTGCTACAAATGGCATGATCTCTTTTATAAAATGGAAGATGGTGCAATTTAATAATACAAATTAAAGAAAGTTTCTAAATAGATGTCTGATCTATGCATGAACAATTGGATCCAATTCCTTATAGTTGTTTAGAAAAATGAAGTATTTCTACCTATACCATTTTTCCTATTCCTATAGGGAATAGTGGTCTTTGTAAGCAAATACTCCTTCTGCCCCCTTACTTGGAAATTTCTTTTTGCTAAAAATTCCACTTTTATCAAAAAAATTTGAGAAGAACAATGATATGTTTCTCCTTTTCTCCACACAGCTTCTGGCCCTTTCTTCCACAAGTTCTACCCCTACTTTTTAAAAGAACAAAGCCTTTTCCTATCCAGGAGATTGTGGTTGAGTCTTTTTTCTGTGCCCATGTGATACATGCCTTCCTATTTGCAAAAGGATATCTCTCTCCCTTAAATTGTTGATTGAAACTTAGGTGCTGGCTAGCCTGTGGTGATTTCTAGCCTGCACATTCACTAAAAATATAAGATGTTGTACACTTTAGCCACATTTACACAGTCTCCTTGTCTTAGCATGAAGATGTCCTATAGTACTAGCAATTTGCCAGCATCAATACTTCATCGTCATCTGAGGCATTCTGAAGACAGCTTTAGGTGCCCGGTTCTCAAAATGGTTTTCCCCCTTTTGTCCAGCTCTAAGCCTTCCATCTGGATGATCTAAGGAGGATGAGTGAGCATTGGAGTCATCAATCTGCTTGGCTCCAACTTCTGCAGATCTGCTGTGGGACCTCCCATTCTGACAGTACTTGGGTACTTGGCTTACTGGGATTTGGGCTTCTGTGGCCATTTTTAGGTCAACTTAAGGATCATGGAGCCTTAAAACTGTCTAGCTCATCCTTAGCTTAACACAGACAATTGAAATTGTAATGGAAAGGACAACTCCAGTATTTCCGCAGCCAGTGACTGCTGCTTCTAGAGAAGTCCTGGTTCCTCTTTTTCTTTTTCTCACATAATAATTTACATTTCCCACATGAAAAAGTTGATTCTCAAACTCCAGCTCTCTGCAACATTTACCCAGTAAGTGTCTATGGAGATTCTCAGTCATCCAGGTCATGGTTGTTCCTAATATGCTTTTTCAAAAGGCGACTGGACTTTCTGAGCTTCTTGGATGAGAAGCAAAATGTCTTCAAAGAAAAACCAGAAAGTCCAGTCGCCTCTTGAAAAAGCACCTTTAGAATTTACCCAGTAATTGTATCTCAGTCTCTGCTACTCATATCAGGATTACCCCTAAATGGCAGCCAAAAGTCTCGTTTTTTTTCTGCCAGCAGTCAGTTGATAGTTTTAAGGAATTTAAACAAGAACATTCACTCAGTTGATGATGCAGCAGAAAAAAAGAAAGAAAAATTGCAGTGAATTGAATAAAAGCATTATACATACCAACTGAAAGCATTTTTCACGTGATGGATGATGTTGAGTGGGTTTAGAATTTCAGCAAATAAGGACACCAATCACAGCCTTCAGAATGTTACATAATTAAAATTGTGCAAATAATCGTGCAACACAGATCTGTTCCAGGTATATGGGAAGGGTGCCCTGCAGGGGCACCAACATTTTCTCTCAAGTCTAGAACAGGAGGCCTTTGAATTGCATCTCAAAAAAGGGAGAATACTACTTTAATATTACTACCGTGTTTTCCCAAAAATAAGACCCAACCAGAAAATAAGCCGTAGCATGATTTTTCAGGATGCTCATAATATAAACCCTACCCCCAAAATAAGTCCCAGTTAAGATAGTCAGCCAGATGGATGCATTTAGTACCATATTTTTCCAACAATAAGACCGAAATGGAAAATAAAACCTAATGTGTCTTTTGGAGAAAAATATATATATAAGACTGGGTCTTATATTAAATAAGACCCAGTCTTATTTTTAAGGAAACACAGTACACCTAAGGATTACTTAAGAGCTAGTTTTTTGTAGTGGTTAAATGCAGAGAGACTGTGAGTCCTAGCCCTGATTTAGGCGTGAAGTTAACTAGATGACTTTGGGCTAGACAGTCTCATTTCTGGGAAGAAGACAATGCCAAGCCACTTCTGAAAAATGTAACCAAAGAAAACTGTATGGATACATGAACCTGTCAATGTAATTTCTGTTCTTAGGTATAAGTGTTCTTAGGTATAGCCTGAAGATACTGAAGCTGCCCATTTGCACATGAACTCTATCAGCAACATATCTCAAAACATATACATAGAGAAACATTCACACAGATACACACATACAAAACTTTAGTTGAAACACATTAAAATATGATGCTTGTTTTATTTGCAAATTGAGAATATATTTTCTATGAGTTTCAATTCCTATTCCCTGTCTAGGGATTCCAGAAAAATCTGTTTTTCTGGGCCAGAATCCAGGATTTCCCTTTTTCCACCTTAACCCCAAAGTCAAATGGTACCTTTTAAAGCCAAAATTGTTGTTACAAAAAAGCCTTTTTTTATTTGCATATTACATCCCAGTCTCCTATTGTGAATATTCTATTCTGGTCACAAAATTGTATGCAGTTTTTGCACTATGTACAGCATCACCAGAGCATGATAATGTATATTTCGTTCATCTATAGATCAGGGGTCTCCAACCTTGGCCACTTTAAGCCCGGAGGAATTCAACTCCCAGAATTCTGGGAGTTGAAGTCCTCCGGGCTTAAAGTTGCCAAGGTTGGAGACCCCTGATCTATAGCACAGAGTTGAAGCCAATTTTGGCCAGTTTCTCAGTCCTAGTACAGAATGGAAAAAGGGATGCAAAAGAAGAGAATAGGGAAGGACAAGTTTTAGGCATTTTTTTTCTGTTTTGAGGATCAGAGGAGAGCAATGGGTAGAATCTCAATGCTATTACTCAGAGTGGGCAGTGATGGATTTCTGTGGGCAGGGAGAGAAATGAGATTTAAATTGAAATGTTTAAATGAAGATTCAACCACACGTGTTTGCTTTTGAACCCATTTTTTGTCGTTTTCCACCAAAAATGTTAGGAAAATGGGCTGTCATTTCTTGGTGGTGGAATTTCAAAATTTGCCAGTGCTTTCTGGGAGCTTTTGAGAGAGAGAGATTGGGCGTATAAATCTATATCAGTTGCAGGTTGCCAATCTGGGTCTGTAATGTTTAGTTCAGTCTTTTCAAAGCAGTAATAAACAGGAAAGTCAGAAATAATCAAAAAAGCATCACAATTTTTTTTACTTCATTTGCTTCCATCAGTATATAATAAAACAAAAAAGCAAAATTGATATCTTTACATTCTAACCACCTAAACACATTCTAAATACTTTAGTTTATTTATTGCAAGACCAAGTAACAGTTGTTAGCACTTTATGTGTGATGATCTAAAGTGCCAATCTTAGGGTATTCTTCTCTGGCATGTCAATATTCACTGGTGAAGTAGCTGCTGTAGAGTAGAATCAGACTCATCACTATCATTTTAGCCATTGTCTATCTACTGCAGGATGAAAGCCTCTTCCGCATGTTTCCAACCAACACAGTCCTGAGCTTTCTTTTACCAATTGGGCCCACAATATTCACTGATATCGTTCACAGTTTCATAAATCAGAAGTTTCATTTTTTCCTACTTAGACCATGTACTTGCACTCTTTTTAACCGTTTTCTTTCTTCCATGCAAGGGGGATCATTAACCCTGTGGGAGGTTTCAGGAGTGCCCGGACAGCACCACTACAATGCATTTCTGTGGCTGAAGGACACACCAAGCCAGTATTGTGCTTAGATGCTACTGATGAATTGTTATTTTCTGGATCCAAAGGTATGTTTGTCTGGTTTTGATGACCTAGATGCTGGAAGGATGAATAATGCTACGCACATGTTCTCAAGCAGGGATGTCAAACTCATGGCCCGTGGGCTGGATACATCACATGCTGGCCACGGCCCCCTGGGTTAGCAGAGGGGGGGAAAGTCGCAATATGTCCCATGACAACAACGTGACGTCACGAGTTTGACACCTGTGTTCTAAGGGGAGATATATTTGAGTGGTTTCTTTGTGGGGACCATATGTCTATTATGATAGCTATCAATACACACCATAACCCACCTTTTTTGAGGATACATTTTCAGAGTCACCTGTACTCCTAAAAATAACTGGGTGGCAATTTGTAACTCACCTCTATTAAAACAGTTTCAGAATCCAGGTTAAGAAGAACATGTGTCTCTTGGACCAATCAGTAGTGATGGTTTCCATGTTTTTTGTGCACGCCTCAAGATAACCTTATAGTTTACTAGAGACTAGTGGTTTCTTTTCTCAACAGAGAAGAAGAAGCCATTCTAATTCAGCTCTCTTTCCTTTCCCAAAGATCGGAGTTGCAAAATGTGGAACTTAGTGACAGGACAGGAAATTGCATCTTTGAAAGGTCATCCAAATAACGTAGTCTCCATAAAATACTGCAGTGACTCAGGCCTGGTATTCACAGTCTCTACCTCTTACATCAAAGTATGGGATATCCGTGATTCTGCAAAGTGCATCCGTACTCTCACGTAAGTAATCACTGCATTGCATGCTTTACCATCATTTTTCCCAAGATCCCCTATGCTCTTAGGATGTAGGAGGAATACACATACCAGATTTCCCAGCTAGAAAGTCCCATGAATGCGCTGAATGAATATTGTGGAAGCTGGAGTCTAACAAACCAAGTGGATAACCATCGGACTCATATCACATGAAATTTGGCTTTCTTAAGCCAGCTAAGAAGAAAAGAGTAAAGTCTTATCTTGTATAAACCCTTTGTTGGCTCTCATCGCGTGGGTTAATTAATCCTTATTGCAGAGGAAGATACCAGAAAGAAAGAAAGTTTAAGCTATGAGTTACTTTTTGTTTTTGCAGCTGCAGTTAGCTATAGTTAATTGTAAGATTGAGTAAAATTGTGAGTAAGACAAGTAAGATTGAGAAATTTATTCTAGTTACGCAAGTTTGTAGTATATAAATCAATGGGGATTTTATTCTGTTGTTGATGAAATAGCCTGCAATGAAATAGTCTCTTGGAAGGGCAAACCTCTACTGTTTTCTCATTGAACTCCACCCGTACCTTTGTCAGATACATTTTATGTTTCAGGCCCTTCCTCTCTCTGTGTCCACTAGCTCTTCAGGCCAGGTGATCACTGGAGATGCCTGTGCTGGGACCACTACCCGGACTATCACCAGCGTGCAAGGCGAGCACCAGATCAATCAGATTGCACTTAATCCCACAGGCACTATGCTTTACGCAGCCACTGGCAATTTTGTCCGCATTTGGGAGCTGAACAGGTCAGAAAGAAAACAGAAAGCATTTCTTTAACCTACGTCCTGTAGTGCACTGGAGTATAGCTTGCTTCCCAGAGTTGCGGATGCTCCATCATTGGAGATTTTCAAGAATAGACTGGACAATCATTTGACTAGGGTGGTATAGAGCTCCTGCCTTGAGCAAGGGGTTGGAGTAGAAGAACTCCAAGGTCCCTTCCAATCCTATGATTTTATGATTTTCTATACATATCATCCCCAGTTAATGGGGACAGTGAGAGATGTAATGTGGGACAATATGAGAGACCTACAAATTGTACAGCAAGATAAGCAATCAGCAACTCCCGGGACTGCCCACAGTATACAAGTGGTTGCAAATGTATGAGAAAGCTAAGAAGAGAGTGACAAAAAGTTATTGAAGCATATTGTCATCCCTTTATGTTTCAGAGAATGTGCATGCTGGGGTTGCCAGTACAGAGAAGGGGCAAAAGAGCACTTTTTCTCAGATAAAATCTGTCTGCAATGCTTTGATCACTGTTGTAGTGTTTGGATATTGATTGGCTTATTTATATGTTCAATAGGTTTCAGCCTATTGGAAAGCTGACAGGTCACATTGGCCCTGTGATGTGTCTCACGGTGAATAGGACTGCAAGTAATCATGACTTAGTGGTCACAGGATCTAAAGATCACTACATTAAGGTATTATTTAAGTTTTGTTGAGTGTATTATTAGCATATTCAGGGACATTCTATATTATTGACAGTCTGGTTCCTCTCCTTTCAAATATCTTTTCTTGCCTGCCTGCCTGCCTATCTCTCTCTCTCCCTCTCTCCCTCTCTCTCTCTCTCCCCCCCTCTCCTCCCCCCCCCCCCCCCCCCCCCCTCTCATATCTATCTCTAGAAAAGAAGATAATTTCTGATCCAGGAAAGCTGAGGCTGTTCACATTCAGGCAATAAAAATGAAAAATAGCTAAAGAGCAAATAAAACCATCCCATTAAACTCTACTTGGCCTCACAGTTAGCATTTGCCTGCAGTGTGGCTTTATATAAATTCCTGGGAAAGAAATGAATTGAAAAATAGGAGCTATCCAACAACTGTGATTATAACCATTATTTCTAGTGAATTTGTGCATTTAGTTCCCCACTACATTTCTTACAAAAGATCGGGTGAGCTGCTACCAGTTCGCACCGGTTCATGCGAACCAGATGTTAATTTTACATCTGGTTCGACGAACTGGCAGTTGCAATGACTGGCTGGCCCCGCCCACCCCGCTCTTCCCAGGAGTCTCCACGCAGAGTGTTTTAGATCCCAGGGCCTGCGCGGAGGCTCAGGGAGGGGAAAAATTGGGCCTCCTAGAAGCTCTGGAAGGCCGAAAATGGGCCCATTTCTGGCCTCCGAAGCCCGGGAAAGGCAAAAATGCCCCTCCCCATTGTGGTGCAGGAGGCTGCCCATGCCCACTCAGCAACCTGGCAGAGAACCGGTTGCTAAATTTTTGAAGCCCACCCCTGCAAAAGATCCAAACTAAGCCAATACCAGGTAACTCACATCTCTGGTTCCAAAATTATTGCATAGAATCTTCCTGTTTCAAATTTAATATTGAGAAAGAGTCCTCTTTCAATGTTCCTTCATCTTTAACAGTAAAGTACCATACTGAGCCCAAGGCTTAAAACATCTTGAACTTGAACAGTGGTCCTTGATTAGCTACTCTTTTTGCTAAGAAGTTCTACTTTGCAGATGTTTGAGATTGCTGAAGGTGTTGGTGGGAACATTGGACCTTCCCACAACTTTGAGCCTCCACATTACGATGGGATTGAGTGCCTAGCTATTCAGGGAGACATACTCTTCAGTGGTTCCCGTGACAATGGGATCAAGAAATGGGACTTGGAACAACAAGAGCTCATCCAGGTATCAAAACATTAAACTGCTATCATTGGGCAATAAAAGAGGGGGAGAATTAACCTTGGAAAGGCAGTGAGAGAAATCAGATGTTTAGGCTATAGCTAATGTTGAAGATGTCATGTATTCGTGGAATTTAATTTGTACTAATGTACAAAACTATATCCAGCATCGTAGGAATGAACTACCTTATGTCTAATGGCCCTTTCTGACACACTTCTTCCCCCCACATATAGTTGTGCAGTAGGGTCAGTTGTAGGGTCACCCAATTTTCCAGAACAGATTTGAAAAATGCTTATGTAATTGTAATGGAGAAAATATTCCTTTCATTAAAGGATGCTATACTATTTCAGGGACAATTCGATTAATTAATAGTTAGTTAGTGCATTTTCAGGGTATAGTTTTTGCCGTTAGAGCCTTGGCACATCTTTTCTGTATCACCGATCTTTAAAATCTTGGAAAAAATTATGAAAAGATAAACAAACACCTCTTAGTTCAAAGTAGTCAACTGAGTTACTTAATCCAATAATTTCCTTCCTTTAATTAGCTATTATGACAAGACTTGGACCCTTTCTGATTTACTATATTCCTGCTTCCAGCAAATCCCTGCACATAAAGATTGGGTTTGTGCTTTGGCCTTTGTGCCCAGCCGGCCAATGCTGCTGAGTGCCTGCCGTGGTGGGACAGTGAAGGTCTGGAACGTTGATAACTTCACACCTGTTGGGGACATCAAGGGGCATGATAGTCCTATCAATGCCATCTGCACAAATTCAAAGCACATTTTCACAGCTTCCAGGTGAGTGTTTAAGTAGAGCCCTAATTATATCCAGGGAAGGGTTCCAAAAGATTTTGCCTTCTTGATCCCATGATGTATAATTGACCCGTTGAAGATAATATTGCTTCATTAGAGCCCAAATGCCTGACTGAGGGAGGGAGCCAAAGGAGCCACGAGTGAATGAATGACTGTTCATCAAATGCCACTTTCTATATAATGCTGCAGCCGTAGACTGTTCATCTTTAAACCAAAGAAGAGGTTTTTTTGTGAGAGTTGTTTTGTTTATAGCTTCTTCATATAATACCATTATGAGTGAATATCCACCTTCAATGATCCCAAAAAGAAACCCTAGTATTGCTATTTGAATATCTTACTGAGTCAGTCAATGCGTACTTGATTAAGGCAGTTTTAATTTTTTTTTCTATATATATTCAGAAACCAGGAGCGTAGCAGTGGGGAGTCTTGGTAACCTGCCATTATAAGACATGATTCTGGCAAAGCTGGGGTTGGAAAACAAGCAAGCACTCAATGCTTGGCAGAAGTGCATCTCCTGGGAGGGCGACCAAGAATACATCATTCACTTCCTTCCCTAAGGCAATCTCTGATCTCCACTTTTCCGACCATGTTTCTTTTTTTCCCTTTTCTGTTTTCCTTTTTCTCCTCTTCTTCTCCTTCTCTTTCTGTTTCTCTTTCTCTGTGCCACAGTGACTGTCGGGTAAAGTTATGGAATTACGTGCCTGGGCTCACCCCCTGCCTTCCACGACGCGTCCTTGCCATCAAGGGCCGTGCCACCAGTCTGCCTTGATCTTCCTCCTCCTTCTCTACTCTCCTGCTTGCTTTCTCTTGCTGTGTTCTCCCTCCCTGCCTCTCTTTGTCTTCCCTGTCCCTCTCTCTGGGAGCTGATTTCAGCTGCTTCTTGACGGTATGCAATGCTTACTTGCTTTTCTTTCCATTGAAGGGGCAGTAAGTGAAGGTGTCTTCTAAGGGAGAATTCACTCCCTATTTTACCTCCTAAATGGACATCCTAAATGCACCTTCTATTCTTCCCTAACTTTGCCAATTTGGTTCCAATGTCAAGTGATCTGTACTTTATTTGGAAACCTGTCACACAAAATAAGTGTAAACTTGTTCCTAGTAAAATCAGTACAAGGTCAGGGTGTTGAGGGTCAGTTGGGTTCCAGTGAGGTACTTCCAATTCACTGCCTTTGGTTTTTGCAGTATGAGGACCAGTCAGTGTGATATAGCAATGAAAATGTTGGGCTATAAATGAGGAGATATAAATTCAAACCACCCTCAGGTTTGTAAGCTCCCTGAGTGACTTTGGGTCACTCACCCTCTCTCTCAGCCCAACCTGTTGCTGAGAGAATAAAGTGAATGAAAGGCCCTCAGTAAGCCATCTGGATTTTCTGGAGGAAATATGGAGTAGAAATCTAGTTTAAAAATGAAGATCTCTGCCCCCCACCTTCCACATACATGTGTCAGAATAGGATAATGACCTCAAGAGTAGTTTCTAGGCCTTTGGGAGAGACCTAAAACCTCTCTACTAGGCAGATTAAAATAATAGTGTCCAAACTAATGTAAAATATGTTTTATTGAACCTGTTTTATAAAACTAAGATTAAGTTAGTCATTTTTATGTTGAAGGAAAAGCAGTTATATTGTGGCAGGGTTAAATTATCTTCAGACCTGCCAAATCTCATTTACTACCGGAGTTGCAATTTGAAATAAAATGGCATCTTCAGGGAGAAATAGAAAATATTGGGGATAAGCAGAATGATAGCTTATATCAGGAAAGCACCAAATGACTCAGATAGGTACCCCTGTAGTTCTTTTCCTTCCAAATGAAAATGTGCTGGTATGCCATTTTAAAATATACCATTTTAAAGTACATTTAATGTAATAGGTAATTTGGCTTTCAGTTTTTTTTCTGTTTCTCAGTTCATGTAATGCTTTGGTTTCAAATGCACAAGCTTTGCTTTTTTACTGATATTCCTCACATTCTTATCCTTTTACGTTTATTCCCAGTGACTGCACAGTGAAGCTCTGGAGTGCGAGGAAGCTACTGAACTGCACAACCTAGAAGTTGTAAAAAAAAACAGCTATGGTCTTAAGAAGACTAAGATGGAACATGGCTAGGAAGTAGTGTTTAATATTCTCAAACCCAGGGCTTTAGGATGAGGTAGCTGCCTGGTTTTCTGACAAGTACATGGGTTGGAGAGGGTGAAGGAAGTCTCCTTTTCTGTTTATATGTTCAGTTCTCCTTGCTTGTCTGATGTCGATGGTGGCAGCCATTGTAAAATAGAGCCAAAAAAAGAAGTCAAAATTTGGTGCTGAGGTTCTTTCAGTCAGAATCCATCTGACAAGTCTACAAAATAAGGTATTTGGGGAAAAAAGGAGTCAAAATATTTCATAAATCAAAATTAGATTTTTCAACCTAGTATAATTAAATGAGGCTTTCCCATGATTTCCAGCTCTCCAGGGAGTGCCTATATCCTGCTTATGCCGTTAAGACATTACAATGAAAATAATTAGAGAGAAAATCAAGGGTTACCAGTTCCTTCCTGGATAGATTGTTATGTTTTAAGAAGTATTTCTTGTTCTGGTTGGTCTTTCAAGGGGATTTATGAAGTACTGACTTTTATTTCTTACTTATACCTGTGAATTGCTATTTGTTTTCTTTTTGAAAGGGGAAAGGATTGGAGGAGAATGCAAGAAAATGAGCCACTTTAATCTGAGCACATAAGGTAGTGTTTCTCAGTGGTCACTATAGAATTGCCCAGATATTTTCTATTTCATTTGAAATCAACCTATTCTTTAGGTTGATTTTCCCAGATTCCTGGAATGACAGTATTAAAAGAAAAAAGACAACTATGTATTAAACAGAGCAATATATTTAGTAACTGATCTGATGAACTTTGATACCTTCAGAAGAGTAGTTGTTTCCTAAATACCAGTTATCTTTTCTAAATGTTAGATAAGCAACAAGAAAGAGAGAGACCTAAACTGATTAAATACGTTTAGGATTCTCCTTCATGCCATCATTCGACATTTCCAGCAAAGAAGTAGCCTGGACATGCCACTTTCTCTTCCCATTCTCAAATTACTGTTTTTCGGTAACAAAATGGCAGTGACTACAAAAATCAACTGTCCCCTATCACAGGAAAGAGGACATTTTGTCTTCTCCTTTGTCTGGGAACAGAAAAAATGTGGAACCTTCCCTTTCAGCTTTCAAACAGGGTAAGGAAGATTTGAATTGCTAAGCACAAGGGTGTTGCAATGCATTCCTGTATTACTGGGGAGATAATGAGCCTGCCTCTCTTAATCTCACCCCCAGCATCTTTTTTGTTGTTTACATCTTTTTTTCATACATTCCCATTCCCATGTCACAATGAGGAGCAAACGGATAAAAGTTGACGCTCTGTGTTTAGAAACTTGAATTTTTCACAGGATATTATTCACTGCACTTGATTTTTAGCAGCAAACGTTGGCTTAAGCCCTTGGAGATCCATCACTATGTGGGGGAAGCTTTCATCTGTGTGCAATGTAGCTGGGCTATCCAAGCCTCTCTGAAGGATTGATCAAGCACTCTTCACATTGTTATAGGATTCATCCTTAAACTTTTAACTTGCGTTGTACTCTTCCATCAGAGGACCAAGGATTTAAATGGATCACTCAGCAGCAGGCTTGGGAAAGCCATTTGCTAGTAGGGAAATATGGACCAGCAGGTTAAAGCAATTTGCTTTCCAGATGCTTTGGACCATTCTACAGCTCTGCTTTTAGTTTGTAGGAGTCTTTGTTCTACTGCCCTGGATTAGGTTGGAATTCTGTCCATTCATTTGTGTTATGAAAATCCCTTTCTCTACACTTAAGCTGCTGAATCTTCCATCCAAGTGGAACGTTGTATTGTAATTCTAAATAGGTGTTCAAATGATTCTGTGTTTTGTCTTGTGCAATTGGGGGTGAAGGGGGGGGGCAGCAGGGAGAGGTGTGTGGTTGCGATTTTAAGAGGGTGAGAGCTTGTTTTGAGTTAACCTACCTCATGGTCCAAGGTGTTTTCTCATTTTATTTTTTTGTTGTTGTTAATAGAACTTGAATTGATCTGGGAAACGCACAGTATCACTGGTCCCAATTTCTAAGCTCAAGAGGAAAGTATGATGAAAGGAAGCTGGTCTCTGTGTAATCTCAGAGGGAGCATTTACATATTAAGGCTGTACTTTGTTTACTGCACCTTGGTGTCTTTTGCAGTCTTATCTTAACTCCACATTCTAAATTGAGTGGGGATGTGGGTCATACGATTCCAAGATTGGAAGATCTTCCACAAAAACAGCACAATCTGCACAATTTCTGCACAATTTGGAACCCAATTTGGTTTTTTTTTTTCTATTTACTGAAGCTTGTGGTCCCCTTTGAATGTTTTGTCTGCAGAAATCTTTGAATAGATTGTGAATTAGCTCAACGTTCTCCATTGACTTACATTATTTGTTTAGAACAAAGAATATGAAGCTTACAAAAGATAATAGTATTTGTCGCACTCAATCTGCCAGGGGATACTTTTTATAGGTTAAATAAAGGATTGTGTGATTTGTGGTCCTCCAGAAGTTGTGCTTTAGCTTCTGTCTTTCCTCACTTGGCCAGCTCAGATTCAAGGAAAGCTGGTGGAAGCCACACACTCCTTCTTAAATTACTGCCCATATTTGCCATAGAGTCTTGTGTGGCTCTTGCTTGCTTATCCTTTGGCACCATGTTATTCTCTATTTTTTGGGGAGGGGAGGGTGAACCTTGCCTCCTTTACTACTTCTGCTCCCATGGATGTAGCAGAAGGGGAATTGAGCTGATTTCTTGGGTTTAATAAGTATAATTTACCCTATTGTTGATTGTACTTGAAGCACATAATTGAGAGGATACAAAGTAAGCAACAATGGACATTTCATCTCATAATTTTCAAGAACTGAACAGGTTGCCGTAATAAGACTAATGAGACTAATAATGGTTTTGCATCTCTGCAAGGATGTTTTAGAACATGTTATCATGCTGTCCCTAAGGCTAAATCTCTCTTTTAAGAAGCCTACCAATTATGTACTAACGTACACCGGCCACCTCAGTCTAGGGTTGGGATGATGGTTTTAGTTGCAGTCCCAGCATACCTGGATGTAACCAGATTGAAATTTTGTTTCAAACAACAGGTGCCTTTCCTTATTCTGAAAGGTCGGGGTTTTTATCCATAGAAAACACTGGTGCTTGTCTGGGGCTTCTGTGAGGGCTGTGTCATCTAGCAAAATGGTATTAAGTGTGAATGTGTGTGTGTGTGTGTGCGTGTGTGCATGTAAGGATACAATGTAATATTTTATACCTCTGTGTAAATAATGTAAGTTATTTAAAGTTTCTGATGTACATGGTTTTCCAATGAATGTTTTTGTTCCTCCTGGTAATAAATTTATTCAACTGAAATCCCAAGTCTGGTTTTTACATTAAAAGGCTAATACAAAATCTTTAAAAAAAAATTAAAACAGAAGCTTGCGGGTTTGAGAAGTTGGATCCCTAAACTGTTACAGAACAAATGCAAGGATTAAAAATAGCGAGGAACTTGGAAATAGCCCTGAGCAGACATGGAGAACCTCAGGTTCACAGGCCTAATCTGATAAAAGTAACTCACAATCCTCCAGTATCCCTTTCCATTCATTCTTTGCCCGGAAAGTTTTCTGCCTTGAAGGGAGAGAAATTAACTTTAAAAATACATTTCTCTTTCCCAAACTTTTATCCCCTTATAACATCCATGTGTTTAGGCAAAATTACCCCCTCTCCCAATTTTCAAGTGACGAATACAACAGTTGTATTCTAGGGTAGAAGACTTATTCATTATCCTACTTTTTAAATGTTTTCTAGACTGTTCTTTGAGTAGACAAAACCAGGAGTGTGAAAAGTGAGATGAATGATACAAAAACATTTCTAGTGATTAAGAATGAAGCAGCACCATGATGCTCAAAACCATTGTTATACAAATTGCCTTTTGTAAATCATTTAATCAGTGTTCACAAAGACTTCTTTGCAGAGATCTGGGAAATAAAGGCTGGGCTGAATCACTAATTGATTTTTTCCATAGTTATTGGTTTTCACTTTGTGGTGGGCAAAACTTTGAAAAATGGACAGGACAAGTTTGAATTCTGACATACTGTATCAGAGTAATTGGGGTAAGAAAAATACCCTAATATTCAACTTTTGAAGATGTTGAATTCTAATACTTATATAAAATTACAATTACTAACAGAAGCCTGTCTTCCGTTTTTCCCCCCTTCATATCTGAATGACAACCAAGTCATCAGAGTATTCCTGACAATTTTTTAAAATAATGTAAATAGGTTGAACATTTCCTTAGCTTGATTTCTACTTTGAATGAAGCCAAAAGGCATAGAACACTGACACGAAAATAGTTGGCAGTACTAATAATTTACCAAAACTTAGAACTGTAGTATATACCTTTGAGAAGGACTGAATATTAACTTGAGAACTCTCAAGTTAAATGTAGGAATGATACAAAAACTAAGACTTAGCTCCACCTTGTAAGCTACGGTTTGATGTAAGGATATACAGAAAATACTGCAGGGGGCTGGGAGCGAGGATATTCTGGTTGGGATCCATGATAAACCAAAAATATTTTGTTTTGGTTGGGGCTTGGTAGAAAGAATACCCACATTTCCATTGCCCAAAGTTTGTTAAAACAGCATTCAGGGGGATTGTGGAGTAAATTTTTATACAGTGGTATACTTTGCCCTCTCCTTCTCTTGCCTCCACTCAGCTACCATTACAAAGTTCCAATGTGACACAGGTCCACCTGCTTTTGATCTTTCCAGTCCCTTCTCTGTCTTCTTATATTGTCATTGCCACCACAAATTTGCACTTCAAACTTGGCTTTTTCCTGCTCCTCCCCTCCCTGACCCACTTCTACCCAGAAGAACCATGTTTTAGTCCATCTTTGGAACAGAACAGCCCAACAAGTGCTTCCAGTTAAGCACATATCACCCCAGGTTAGCTACTCCACACATATGTTGCTCAACTCTAAGGTTGCTGAGTTTATTATTGAATTACCTTAGGAACCTATAAGACTAGTTTCTGGCCATAAGTGTAATGCTCTACATATGTGTTTGTGTAAATCATCTTGTTTCTTGCAAAAGAGGTCAGTAAAAAGCGACTTGTTTTCTTACAGCCAACAAATCAATCAATCTCTTCTGCAATAAAATTAAAGCTGGATTGTCTGGATGCTCAGTGCTAGATGATTATCAACTATGTGACATGCAATTTGTTCTATAAAGGCAACCCTCTGCTTCCATAATTTAATGAAGATTGCATACAAAAGTTGAGCGATATGTTATAGTTCATCCATCAACATGGACCTCTTTTTAATAAAAAAATTCCATCAAAGGATTCCATTAAAATTCCATTAAGGATTCATACACAGGTCCACAGATTTGTGAATTACATTAGTCTAAAGAAAGGCAGAATAACAGAGCGGAGCATGAAGTCCACCCAGACAGACCATTGGCTGCATTGGGTAGTTTTCTTTAGGAACAAAGACAAATCCAGTAATTGGGAAGGAACTTGGATAGGTAAACGTACAGGTGAAACTTGAAAAATTAGAATATCATGCAAAAGTTCATTTATTTCAGTAATGCAACTTAAAAGGTGAAACTAATATATGAGATAGACTCATTACATGCAAAGCAAGATAGTTCAAGCCATGATGTGTCATAATTGAGATGATTATGGCTTACAGCTCATGAAAAACCCAAATCCACAATATCAGAAAATTAGAATATTACATGCAATCAATAAAACAAGGATTGTACATAGAATAATATCGGACCTATGAAAAGTATAAGCATGCATATGTATTCAGTACTTGGTTTGGGCCCCTTTTGCAGCAATTACTGCCTAAATGTGGCGTGGCGTGGAAGCTATCAGCCTGTGGCACTGCTGAGGTGTTATGGAAGACCAGGATGCTTCAATAGCGGCCTTCAGCTCTTCTGCATGTCTCTCATCTTTCTCTTGGCAATGCCCCATAGATTCACTACGGGGTTCAGGTCAGGCGAGTTTGCTGGCCAATCAAGCACAGTAATCCCACGGTCATTGAACCAGGTTTTGGTGCTTTGGGCAGTGTGGGCAGGTGCCAAGTCTTGCTGGAAAATGAAGTCAGCATCCCCATAAAGCTCGTCTGCGGAAGGAAGCATGAAGTGCTCCAAAATCTGATAGACAGCTGCGTTGACCCCGGACTTAATGAAGCACAGTGGACCAACACCAGCAGATGACATGGCTCCCCAAATCAACACAGACTGTGGAAACTTCGCACTGGACTTCAAGCATCTTGCATTCTTCCTCCAGACTCTGGGTCCTTGGTTTCCAAATGAGATGCAAAAGTTGCTCTCGTCAGAAAAGAGGACTTTGGACCAGTGAGCAACAGACCAGGTCTGTTTTTCTTTAGCCCAGGTAAGACGCTTCAGACGTTTGTTGTTCAGGAGCGGCTTGACAAGAGGAATATGACATTTGAAGCCCATGTGCAGCATCTGTCTGTGTGTGGTGGCTCTTGATGCACTGACTCCAGCCTCAGTCCACTCCTTGTGAAAGTCCCCAACACTTTTGAATGGCCTTTTCCTGACACTCCTCTCCAGGCTGCGGTCATCCCTGCTGCTTGTGCACCTTTTTCTTCCACACTTTTCCCTTCCACATAACTTTCTATTAATGTGCTTTGATACAGCACTTTGGGAACATCCAACTTCTTTTGCAATTACCTTTTGAGGCTTTCCCTCCTTATGGAGGGTATCAATGATACAACTGTCAGGTCAGCAGTCTTTCCCATGATTGTGATTCCCAGGCATGATATTCCCCTCTGAAAAAAAAATCGGGGGCGGCCAAAAGAGACCCCCCCACTGCGCACCAAGAAATCGCTGCCCAGCTCCCTTTTCCTGCCGCTCAGCGGGCTCCGCTCGCACTGCCCGGGCTCCGCTCAGGTATCCGGCTGGGGCTGTCAGGAGTTGCTACCGCCGGCGCGACTCCGCGTAGCTCCAGTCCCGCGTTGCCTCGAGAAGGGAAAGGCAAAACCAGGAGCCGCTGCTGCCGTTGCAAAGCGCCGCCGCGGCTCTTCCTTTTTGCCTTTCCCTTCCTGAGGCAACGCGGGACTGGAGCCACGCAGAGCCGCGCCAGCAGTAGCAACTCCTGACTCGGGGCCTCTGAGGGGAGGGGAAGGAGGAGAAGAAGGGGGGGAAAGGGGGAGGCGATTCCCAAAAAAATCGGAATTCCGATTTTAATCGGAAGAATATCATGTCTGGATTCCTACTGAACCAGACTGAGAGACCATTTAAAGGCTCAGGAACCCTTTGCAGGTGTTATGGCTTCATTAGCTGGTTAGAGTGGGACACTTTGAGCCTAGAATATTGAACCTTTTCACAATATTCTAATTTTCTGAGATTGTGGATTGAGGGTTTTCATGAGCTGTAAGCCATAATCATCTCAATTAGGACACATCACGGCTTGAACTATCTTGCTTTGCATGTAATGAATCTATCTCATATATTAGTTTTACTTTTAAGTTGCATTGCTGAAATAAATTAACTTTTGCGCGATATTCTAATTTTTTAGTTTCACCTGTACATTCTACTTCCATTAGAAAGTAAGTTGTAGTCAGAAATAGCTTGGACTACAAAAATCCTACACTAACTTCATTTTCATAATCTACAGACACACTAAAGTTATTTCCAGCACAGACCTAAGAGAAACAAATAGGCAGACAAATCCTGGTTAATTTGATCTGTATTTCATATAATACAAGAAACATAAATTCTGTTGTCATCGGTACACTGTTTCAATTCATCATAGGAACATGGTCTCACATAGCTTGCAGAACAAGTCCCAAAGTTTCTCCCAAACAGGAGGAGCACAAAATGCAAGAACGTGTCAAGACTTGACTTAAGGCCTCTTCTTCCCCTCCTAAACAAGGGCCTTCCGGCTCATGCTTCCAGGGTCTAGCAGCCTCTAAACTTGAGTAATGATTTCTCCATTTTCCGGGACGTAGACTTGCACAGGGGCTCCTTCAGGAGAGCGTTTGAGGATATGGATACGAGGTACCTGAAAGTTCAAAAGAAAACCTTTAATAAAAAAAACCTGTTGTTTTTAGCAGGGCTTTTCATTACCTATTTATTTTACCACTACTACAATTCATCTATTTTTATTTCATGTAAGGCATCTCCAGAGAACGTGCAATCACTGATACACAAATTTAGTTTAAATAAACCATCGTGTATGAGTATATACACACACACACAAAAACACTACAATATAGGATGTAAAATATTAAGATAAACCATAATAAAACCACCATAACATGGAGCCATAGAATTGCAATGGGATAGATGTTATAATTCACTATCTAAGGGAGATAACCATCTAACATTAAGAAACTAATTTATTAAGAGAGGAGGAAAATATGTGACAAATAAAAGATAATTACATTACCTTCTACCTTAAACTGTGTGCCCAACAGCCTGCATGTTAACATCAAGACTGATTTAGAGAAGACGGCATAACAGATGGATCATTCCTATGTACTCCACTGCTAAAATTGGTAGCACCTCTTAGGAGAAAATTCAGGAACATGGCAATAGAGTAGCTACTCTAGCTGGCTGCCGGGGGGTTAGAGATTACTAAATGGTGTTTTAGAATTTCCCATTCTACTTGCAGTGCTGTGCAGTCAAACAACTATGGATATGAGAGCTCAGGAAATCTCAAGAATCAGAAATTTATCTGTTAATCTGTTAATGCCTGAAATACTTCACAACTGAAGTGAAACCCACCAGGTGGGTTTCATTCATTCATTCACAGTCAATGGCCTGAATGTTCCAAAAGATCAGTACATTAGCCTGTTGTGACAAATTCAAGAAGCACTGGGAGAATCTTAAAGACTAGCATATATAATATGAAATCAGTGTATAGACTAAAGCCCATTTTATGTGATGCTCATACTGTGTAAGCAGTGTTTCTCAGGCTGATAAACATGAGGCAGATTTCATGCAGTTCGATTCTAAGTTTGTGTCTAGAATACTTAACTCCAAAGCTCACAAACCAACCCATCCAGTTAAGTACATGATTTTAACAGTGGACTTTTAGGACTGGTGGTAGAGCATTGTGAAGGGTTAATCTCCCGTGACATCGCTGCATGGCTTCAGTGTTCTACTTAAAACAGATTAGAAAAAAAAATGCAATGAGCTGTTCAAGAACCTGCCTTTCTAGCTCATGCAACCACTTCCTAGGATAACAATTTTGCAGCTCTGTTTCAAAGGAGTGGAAAGTAAGCATTAGGGATTATGAGAGGAGGAAATCAAGGGCAAGCTCACACTTGCGTGGTGTGGGCCTGCGCTGCAGGCAAGGGAGATGTCCGAGGAGATGAAAGTTTTATGAAACATTCACACATCTGAAGGAGGAGGAAATCTAGAACAAACAAAAAACGACCCATACCACACAGATTCCTTTCAATGACTACTTTTCTGAGAGTAGATAGCGGAAGCATTCCCAGAATCCTCTGACATGGCAAAGATAAAAGATAAATACTCCCTCAAGTCCAACTTGACAACTGGTGACTACATGGCAATGGCTAGAAATTGGGATCATTCTCGTCAATCACACAAGATTTGCCCCTGCCGACTTTCAGGACAACTTTTTCAACTTTTCATTATAGCTTACAACCCTGCATTGCTTGATAATCTGGAACCTGACTAATAACCAGATGCGATTCTGTGTAGCCATTTGAGATCAATCCAATTCAGCTAACCTGGTGAGTCCTTTGCTATAACTCTCAAAAGCACTTAACCAGCTTTTTCCATCAGATGCCCTCCAGATGAATAAGTATGGAACTGTGGGAGTTGAAGACCAAGTCTTCAGAGGACTCTACGTTCAGAAAGGCTGTTCGAAACAAAGGAACTTGGGTGCTAACCATTTCCCACCAGTTTCAGATAAACTTAAACTGAACAATAGATACAATTTTATCAAATCAAAGGGATGAGTTCAGTAGAAGTAGAGTGGGCAAAATTTAGTGATTATCATCGGATCATTTCAGTCTTTGTCATAGGCTTAAGCAACTCTTATTGACATGGATGACCCATAAGTGTCCTGAACATCAACTCCTCCTACTGTGTATCTGTATGTATCTCGTACTTGGGAAAGGACATTTTAAATATTGCTTTAGGAAAGGTCACAAGCACAATACTGATAGAATATTTGTAGCTCAGGGTTGAACTGCACGGTCCTTGCATATACATTCTCTGAGCTTGGTTGTTGTCTTGTAGACATTTCATTGGTCAGCTAGGTAATGTCATCTGTGTTGATGATGTTTATCTAGTTTGCTAATGAAACGCCTGCAAGAAAACAACCAAACTCAAAAAGCACCAACAATTCCGAAGCACAATATTAAAAGGCACAGCTCTATTATTAAAGAACTGGCTGTTTTCTCAGGCCCTGGGCTAAGGTGGATGAAGCTCTTTGTGGTGTGCTTGTGTATGTTTTTGAGTTGTTGGCAGGTGTTGGTCTTCTTTTTTATTTACCTTGTTGTTTGTTATTTGACTTTTTTAATCTATCTTTTTTTTTTAATTGTTACATAGTGAGCTGCCCAAAGTGATTATAGTATCAGGCAGCACATAAATCAAGTAAATATTAAAATGTTAAAATAATCAGAAAATAATGTATGGAGAATAAAACAGAAATGGGAAGGGAGTAGATAGAAATATATTCAATTTTAAATTTCTAACAGATTCTACAAATATGACGCTGTCATATCATAAAGCCTATTCTACATAAATAAGTTAGCTTGCTTATAAAAGTATGCTTTGTTATGCAGTTACAAAGTTTAGTTTACACAAACAAAAATGAACCTAAAGTAATACCCTCACTGTTGGTGGTCATTATAGTGATTTACTTATTTTGATCTTTGATTCTGATTATTTTATAAGCTTCATGATCTTCTGCAAGAAAGTTAGCCTACATTGAGACAAACTTTCTTACTGTTTCCCATGTTTGTTTACTCTTTGAGTTGGCACATTTCCAAGCATATCTTAACTTCCTTCACCTCTTAATGAATTAACATTATCATTTAAAACAAAAATAATTGGAAATTTTCATCAGCCCTTTTTCTCATGTATCCCAATTTTATTTTATTTGGGGGGGGGGGGTCAGGAGGAGAAGGTTTGCAAAAAGAATAAAAAGCAATTTTTTCTCTTGATAATTTCCTGGCCTGCATATTTATATCCAAAAGGAACATGCATTGGTGGTAGATAGCATCGTGGGTTGTTCTCCATTTTTGTTGGCACCCATCAAATTCAAAAAGCACAAAAGCACTCCTCCACCTTTTTTCCCTTTTACTTAAGTTTAGTTGTTGTTGTTTTGTGTGTATCCAGATGGTATAAGCCAGGAGTGAGGAACCCACACGTAGTTTTTAAGAGTTCAACACTGGCTAACCTATCCCACTACTTTGTTTACTGTCCTTGCTGTAGGAAAGCTGCCAGTTTAGGGCAAGGCAGAAAGAATTAAGAAGATGCTGGTTCCCCTCTCCCTAGAGCTGCTCTGTATTCTTACCTGAATTTGATGTCCCAAGGAACAAGGAGAATGCAATTCTCTGCCTGGCATATTGCGCACACGGAAAGCTCCTTGCCTATCCAGCGAATGTGGACGCGCATTGCGCAGCCGGGTTCGTTCGTGCCAGGATTTTAACTCTTCTGTCACTGCCGCCTTGGAGAGAACTCGAGGCCCCACTGGAACAAAGTCCTTCAGGGATGGCGTACGAACTACCCTGCTGTGGGATACAACAGACCTATGGAATCTAACTGGCACCGCTTCTTCCTTGTAGGCAAAGTGAGCTGAGCTGCCAGAGAGAAAAGATGGCCGACCATGGCAGAGGTGGCTATTCGGCACACGTTCTGTGACAGGAAAAAAACCTGGCCCTGAACGCAGGTTCTGAGGACACAGATGATGGTATTCTACTTCTTGTCCCTTGCAGACCTGGTTATGAAACAGCTGCGTGGGCTCCTCCTTGGACACTACAGATGCCGGCTTCATAAAGGAAATGTCCGGGCTGCTGCTGCCAGCAGATGTTGTGTAAGAGATGCTGGAGACATCTGAATTGCTATCTTCTGAAGCAGAGTGAAAATTGGCTTTCGGAGCAGGATTGGGATTGGATGCAGCGAAACAGAATTCAGGGACAGTCACGGTATAGTAGGTGGGACGTCGCCTGGGCAGTGCACTTCTTCCTCGGGACTCCAAACTTTCCCGAGTGGAACATACCCTGTGGAGCCAGAATAAACTGGTTAAGATTGCAAATGTCAGGAGCAATTGTTTGATCCTTGGGGAAAAAAACATGACGCTATCTTCTTAAAACCTTAAGTAGCTTAACACAAACACTCATGACACGTGGACAACCAGCTAAATATGAGCCAGCAGTGTGCAGCAGCCAAAAAAGCTAATGCAATCCTAACTTGTATTAACAGAGGGATACAATCAAGATCAAGGGAAGTACTAATACCACTCTATAAAGCCTTAGTAAGACCACACCTAGAGTACTGCATCCAGTTTTGGTCACCACATTATAAAACAGAAAAAGTGCAGAGAAGAGAAACCAGGATGATTAAGGGACTGGAGCTAAAACATACAACAAACGGTTGCAGGAACTGGGCTTGGCTAGTCTAGTAAAGAGAAGGACCAGGGGAGACATGATAGCAGTCTTCCAATATTTGAGGGGCTGCCACACAGAGGAAGGGGGTCAAGCTATTTTCTAAAGCACCTGAAGGCCAGACAAGGAATAATGGATGGAAACTGAACAAGGAGAGATTTAACCTGGAAATAAGGAGAAACTTTCTGACAGTGAGAACAATCAACCAATGGAACAGCTTGCCCTCGGAAGTTGTGGGAGCACCATCACTTGAGACTTTCAATGAGAGATTGGACTGCCATTTGTCAGAAATGGTGTAGGGTCTGCCATTTGGGTGGGGGGTTGGACTAGATGACCTACAAGGTCCCGTCCAACTCTGATTATCTGTTATCTGTGGAGTTCAGAACTTCCATAGATTTCATTCTGTCTACTATGCATTCTACTTATGACTGGCCTTTCCTATCTCATCTCATACCTATGCCATGAATGTCCATTTAAACCAGGGGTGCCCGAACATGGCAACCTTAGGATGTATAGACTTCATCTCCCAGAATTCCCCCGCCAGGAGTTGTGGGAGATGAAGTCCACGGGTTTTTAAGTTGCCATGGTTGGATACCACTGTTTGAAGGAAATGCTTAAGGGTATATTTCTGACATCTTTAGTGGATAACTTACTTTTTAATTTTGTATACATTTATATGGAACTATGAATAGGGTCAAGTAGAGACATTCAAAATTTCACATTTCTTTCACATCTCTCATTTCAGGGCAATATGCCATGTATAGTTCATTCGAATCAAAATTTTGCAATTTTAGTCAAATCCCCCCCATGTCCATATATTTATTATTTTATTATTTATTTTGCTTATAATATTTATTCCTCCTCCTTCTCCTTCTGGCTGATGGTATTCACTAAACGCTATTTTCTCATGCAAAGCTACCTTCAGACACATTAAAGACTATAAATTTTTTAAAAAGTGAAAGCTAAGATTCTCAAGCTCTGTATTTTGGGACACACATAAAGGTCTGCATGAACTTAATTTATTCTTGCTAAATGTACTTTTAAAGTGTCTGCTTGTTGTCAAAATCCATCGTTGGATTAGGCAAGGTAATCATAGAAACATAGAAAACTGATGGCAGAAAAAGACCTAGTGGTCCATTGAGTCTTCCCTTTGAATTTATTTATTTATTTATAATTATTATTTTTATATTTTATATTTTAATTTTTGTCAGATGGTGGATACGTGTTTATCACAAGCAAGTTTAAGCTCATGTTTAAAGCAGGTTAAACCATAGGAGTACTTTCAATATACTGTACCTCAATACAGTACAGTACAGTATTTTTAAAAAAACAAGTTTTATTTTTCAAGACAAACAATACATAAATACACATAAACACAAAACATAAAAGTATAAAAAATCTCTTTTCTGAAAGTTGCTTATTCCCGGGTTAAAACTCTTGGTACAGACACAAGTTCAATTTCATATTCATTTTACATACCATTTCATATCTTCTTAACCTTTTCAATTTTCTATATAACTTCTCCTCTCCTTTAAATTTTCTCAATTTTTTTTAAAATCTCCTCTCAATTCATATGGTAATATTTATTATTCTTTGTCTGTTCTATTCCAGCCAATCATTTATTTTTCTTCTTTAAAAAAAAAAGAAGAAGTACTTCTCCTATACACTATATGGAGTATGATGCCTTTATCTTTTTCCCCTATATTTATAGTACTTAATATAAAATACATAACATACATTGGGATTCTGTCTGGTACATTCTAAAATTATACTATATTATCAAAAATAATACAAATCTATTCATTAATATTGATATTCATTCATATCTTAGATGTTTAACTCATTACTTTTCAATTAAATCACATGCTTTTATGAGAGCCCTATTTTTTTAAAAAATTTTTTTTTAAAAATACAGTACAGTATTGTACAGAATTGTAATACAGTACCTTATCAACTGAGACTGTCCTCTCCTTCCCGGGAATTCTGGGGTTGGAGGGGCACTAAAACCAGCCTGTCTTCTTACTTCCAGCTTCCTTGGAGGATCTAAGGGACACAGGTGTGTCTCAACTGCCCTCTGGATGGAAGGGCTGGGTGCCGGTGGGGGCTTTATGCTTGCTGTGCTATAACAGAACACAATGAGATAAAAACTAAGACACAGTTCTTCTATTTCCCAGTTATCATTATTTTTCTACATGCAAACCAAGGGCCCACTGGTTAAGGGCTATAAAAGTCATTCTTTCCTATTATTTCTGAAACAGAATAGAAGCAAAAAAAACAAAACCCTGAAGATTCCAGAATGTCAATAAAACAACTGTTCAAGTTTTAGCTACCTCTAATATTCTGGGTCAATGCTCCTCAAAGAACATTTCGATCCCAAATAAGTCAAGGACTACTTATATATGGGGTTGCCTTTGAGCAGGGACCAGGTGTTTCCATCAGCACCAGGCCAAGACAGAATACACACTGGAGTTCCATATCATATTACACCAGTGCTGCCATCCAGCTAGTTTCAAGGTGTTAGTGTGAGTATAGATAGCTCCAGGTTCCTTGGGACCAGATTATCCAAAACAAGGTTTCAAGTACATGACCTTTATGGGCATCTACAATTTTGGGGGAAGACAGGAATTTGCTGTTTGAAATTGACATTAAAAAGGGCATTATCCATGACATCTCTTGTGGAACAATATCTTTCCTACAATGTGCCAAATCATGCTGGCATCTTTTAATTGTCTTTTTCAAAATTATAATTTTAAATTGGTGTTATCCGGCCATTAAGTTCCCTAATATTTGTCTTGCAATGGATTTGTCTTGTAATGAAAAATGGACACTAAAGAGACAGGATACAACCAGTAAATCTACCTGAACTGCAAGAGCAGGAAAAAAAAGTTTCAGGAAATGCTCTTAACATGGCATGTCCACAAAATATGATTTTTAAAAAATTGCTATGCTATTGCCATGATAAAATCAGAGTGTTAAAATGAACCACAACTTTCCCTAAATCCATTTCCTATTGCAAATCAAAATAATCTAACTACAATTTACTATGCTAATTCATAATTTCATCTGTAGGCGCACAAGTAAGCGATACTTGCAAAAAATAGTCATCAAAAACATTTGATGTCTATCACTGTTATCAGTGATTATTAATCAAGGTAAAGTTATTATTAATAATACACCCAGGATGCAAGATATTCTGATGGCTTTTCTTATCTGTTCAATAAAGGATGCAACAAGGCAGATTAGTGCAATTTTAATATAGTGAAGAAAGAAGGATAATGTTAAGAATCAATGAATAAATTAAGATTTGAACCTGAAAGTTTAATTCAACCTGCCTGTCTTCAACAGTTGCAAGTACACTTTGCAACTGAGTTATGAGTTATGATTTACATGAGTTCACTTCAACACTTTGAAATCAAATGGAGACATCCTAACAAAGAGAAAAGCACAGTAGAAAGTTCTAGTGAACAAGTTTAACCTCAGCGTGCTGTTGGACCCCATCGACTTCTTGGGCTTCTCATAGGGCTTGTCCAAACTAGTTTCTTTCCAAGGGCTATTCTGGATGGGAGAAGACTCCACTTCAGCAGCTGGATAATGAGTTGAATCTTCTAGAAAGCCAAGGGAGGAAAGTTGCGATGAAGGACTGTGGTGAGACTGGATTTGTGTCCAAGGTGTAATTATTGTTGGAAGGTGAGGATTCACCACAGGGACTTCTTTAGAAAGAAAGGAGGATGATAGCTTGTCACTACAAACTTGAATGTCCTTTAAGCATCCACTAAACTACCTTGTATACCTGCACTCCCTTACCAGCCCTTAATTAAAACAAAGGGGGACATTAAATTTGGCACCCATGGATCATTTCACTGAGATCCATTATAAACATCCTTCCTTGCCTTCAAGCTTGGTAAAATATTGCAGGTAAATTTTTGGTCACAATGTCTGGATATGATGCTGAGAATTATAATCAAATAGCTAATCTCTTTTGCTGAATATGAGGTCATTAAATAAAGACAACAGCAGCAGAATATTTAAATAAATATTTTAAAAATTACTAAAATAGCTGTCTGAATGTTTACTTACTTAGCCTCTGTCATGAAAGACTTCTATTCTTAAAACCCCTGGGCATCATAACTCTAGCATGAAAAATTATTATTTAAAAAAAGACAATTTCACTATCCCCAGAGTGAAAAATATTGCGCTCTCTCTCTCTCTCTCTCTCTCTCTCTCTCTCTCTCTCTCTCTCTGTGTGTGTGTGTGTGTGTGTGT